TGCAAAGGAAAAAAGACAGTCTCTTCAACAAATGGTGTTGGGAAAGCTGGACAGCATCATGCAAAAGAATGAAAATGAACCACTTTCTTATACCATACACAAAAATAAATTCAAAATGGATTAAAGAACTAAATGTGAGACCTGAAACCATAAAATTCATAGAGGAGATCTTAGGCAATAACTTCTTTGACATCGGCCAAAGCAACTTCTTTCTAGATATATCTCCTGAGGCAAGGGAAACAAAAGCAAAAATAAACTCTTGGAAATTCATCAAAACAACTGAGTAAACAAACAAACAAACAAAAATAAGGGAAGAAATAATAAGTATTAAAGCAGAAATGAATGAAATGCAAAATTTAAAAAATCAAAATTCTGCTTTTTAAGACAGAGAAACCACTAGCTGGCTTGATGAAGGAAGAGAGGGCACAAACATACAAAATAATAAATAACAAAAGAAAAATAACCATTGAAACAGAAAAAGAAAATACACTATTTGTAAACCTCTATGCAAATAAATTTGAAATTCTACATGAAACAGATAATTTCCTAGAGAAATAGAAATGGCCAAAATTCTGACTTTAGTGTTACAAAGGTTAAATTAGGCAATTTTCATAGAAGTAGAGAAATTTACTAAGAAATTGCCCCTAGGGGGTACCTGGGTGGCTTGGTCAGTTAAGCAACCAACTTGATTTCCACTCAGGTCATGATCTCAGGGTCATTAGACCAAGCCCTGCTTAAAATTCTCTCTCCCTCTCCCTCTGTCACTCCCTCCTAAATCCTCCCCCCCAAAAAAAGAAAGAAAGAAAGAAAGAAAGAAAGAAAGAAAGAAAGAAAGAAAGAAATTATTCAAGAGCATTTAAAAGGAATGAACATTCCTTATCACCTTTTATGAAGCAAGTATGACACTGACAATTAACATGTAGATACAAAAATAATACAATATTAGCAAACATCCAACAATACATTTAGAAACCAATAAAGTGTTACAAAGTGGGATTTATTTCATTAATACAAGGTTGGTTCTATATTAGGAATTTCATTTATATCATTCACCATAGTAATATAGTTAAGGACAAATACCATGTGATTATCATCATATATACTAAACAAACCTGTGGGGAAATTCAACACCCATTCATGTTTTTAAAAAGGGGGGAAAAAACCTCAAGAAAATAGGAATCGGGTAATTTTTTCTTAACATGATAAAAGATCTTCAATGAGTTCTTAATGCTAATATTTTATTTAATGTGGTACCACTAGAGGTTTTCCATTAAGGTCAAGAACAAGGAAAGTATGCCCACCACTTCATTCCTATTCAATCTTGTACTACATATATTAGCTGACTAGAGAAATCAATTATATTAAGAACAGATAACAAAGGTATTATGCTAACACCAGATAATTATGCTAATACAGATAACAAGGGTATATTATGCTTATGAATTAAGTCAATCAGAGAAAGACAATTATCATTGTCTTTCATATGGTTTCACTCATATGTGGAATATAAGGAATAGCGCAGAGAAAAATAGGGGAAGGGAAGGAAAACTGAATGGGAAGAAACCAAAAAGGGAGACAAACCATGAGATACTCTTGATTCCAGGGAAACAGACTGAGGGTGGTGGAAAGGGAGGTGGGTGGGTAGGAGGATGGGGTCACTGGGAGATGGGCATTAAGGTGGTCACATGATGTGATGAGTACTGCATGTTATATGCAACTGATGAATCACTGAACATTACATCAAGAACTAATGATGTACTATGTGTTTGCTAATTGAATTTAAATTTTAAAAAATTTTAAAAGAATGGATAACAAGAAGTAAAGCCATTCAAATATGCAGATAATATAGCACACCTATAAAATCAAAAAGTCCTATAGAAACAAGATAAATTAATGTAAGCAATAAAGAAATCAATAAGATAGCAGGATGTAAAGTTAACATACAAAAATTAGTAGTCTTTATACATACAAACATACACACATGCACACGCAATCCAGCTGGAGGACACATTTTTAGAAAACATCTTATATGCAATAGCAACAAAAAAGATTAAATGCATAGGAATAAACTTAATAGGAACAACTATATAAGGACATCTTTAAGTGTTTATTTAAATTCCAGTTAGTTAAAATTCAGTGTAATATTAGCTTCATGTGTACAATATAATGATTTAACACTTCCATACATCTTATGCTAATCACAAGTGCACTCTTTATTGCCCATTATCTATTTAACCCATCCCCCAACAAATCTATCTTATGATAACTATCAGTTTGTTCTCTATAGTTAAGAATCTATTTCTTGGTTTGTCTGTCTGTCTATCTCTCTCTCTTTTTATATAAAGCACTCCTGAAGGATACAGGGAAACTTGAATAAATGAAAATATGTTCACTGTCTTTGGATAAAATAACTCAACATTTAAAAAATTCAATTCTCCCTGTTAATGTATAAATGTAATAGAATCTCAAAAATACCAGCAAACACTTTTATTGCAGTTAGACAAGTTGATAATAAGATTCATATATTTAAAAAATGCAAGAATAACTAGGATATAAGTGAAAGAGAAAAACCTATGAGAGGGGGTAATGATACCAGCCATTAAAGCATACTATAAAACCTATGTAATGACAACGTTGTGGTACTGGCACATAAACAAATGACAGCCCCATAAAATAGAATAGAAAACCCCCCAAAATGCCCAAGAACATGTGGAGATTTTAGTATATGATAAAAGGGCATGTAAAATCACTGAGGCAAAGATGGACATTTAATAAATGGTGTTAGAACAACTGAGACATTTGGGAAAAATAAAAGATCCATATCACACATCATATACAAAAACGTGATAAAATCAGCCAGGATATGGGAGGAGCCCTACTTCAAATACAAACAACAACAGATTAATCTAACTATATTACAAATGAATATCTTAACCTCACTGAGGAGATGAGGAAGAACATAGCTAAACTAAGAAACTTGGGAAAACAGTATTTTGATTGAATCCCCTGAAGCTAAAGACAAAAAGAACTGTTCATAAATACATATTAGCAAATATATTTCTTTTTTTTAAGATTTTTATTTATTTGACAGACAGAGATCACAAGTATGCAAAGAGGCAGGCAGAGAGAGAGGGGAAAGCAGGCTCCCTGCCGAGCAGAGAGCCCGATATGGGGCTCGATCCCAGGACCCTGGGATCATGACCTGAGCCGAAGGCAGAGGATTTAACCCATTGAGCCACCCAGGCACCCCTAGCACATCTATTTCTAACAGGTGTATTGTTTAACATTTCTTCAATTACTTTTTTTAAAAGATTTCATTTATTCATTTGAGAGACAGAGAGAGCTAAAGCAGAGTGAGCAGCAAGAAGAGGGAGAAGCAGTCTTCCCACTGAGCAGGGAGCCCAATGTGGGACTCGATCCTAGGACTCTGGGATCATGACTTGAGCTGAAGGCAGATGCCTAACCAACTGAGTCACCCAGGTGGCCCTCCCCAGCTACTTTATACCTACACCAGGAATGAAATAATGAGTAAATATTGTAGATAATGAGAGCTAGGTCAGAGAAAGTAGTTATAAATAAAGCTAGAATGGATTGAAATCAGAATTATCAGTCTGAGCTCCTGAATTTTAATATCTATACATATAGGTAGGTACAGAAATGAATACAGCTATATCTGTAAGTAAGGGCATATACATACCATATATTTCCTACCTTTGTTGATGGAGAGGACCTAGCAACAATGAAACCCTAGTAGCAATGAACACACTTTGAGGTATTGGTTTCCAAATGTCATTCTACAGGAAAGAAAATGGGGATCCTTAAAGAAAGAGCTTGATTCCAGGACTGTGGTGAGAAAAAAAAAAAACACAAGATGAATATGAACATTTTATTATGCCAGTAAAGAAAGAAGTACACAAAAAAGGATAGGGTCATTTTGAAGGAACACAGAACCAACCAAATATAGTTCCCAATGAGTAAAGCTGGAATGATTTGAAGAATAAAATAATCATATAATTTGATTATAACTTATGTGCAACATAGTGATTCATGAGTCAATATTGATATAAATTATTTGAATCAATATTTTGAAATACATGTTATAATTTCTATAAATAATTTAAAACATAAAAATAAATGGAGGAGAAAAAATGGCTTTTCAGGAGAATTCCAATAAATGTAGTAGGAGTGAGGAAAATAGAAAGTCACCATTGGGTAGTAACTGTTGTAAACAAGATCCTTAGATTCTAAAAGTAGTGAGTAAAAGCCTCAGAAGAAACAGTAACTTTATACTCAAAGTATTTCTTACACAGTATTCCTACACAATATTTCAAATATTACAAATGGGAAAAACACCATTACAATAGAGCAACATAACTGCCATCACCTTAATCAAGTGATCAAGATAAATATGATTAGTAATACCACATATGGACATCATGTACCCCATGACATGATGCACAGAAAGGGAACAAAATTGCATGTGCAGTACAGTGTATAACACCTAAAGTTAAGTCTCAATCATACGTATGCCTTGACATTTGGGGGAAACCCAGAGGGCCTCAAATGGCCTAAACAATGCTCCCTTCCCTATTGTGCTCCCACAAATAAGGCCCCCTTGACAAAGAACCCTCCTTATCATGGAAACTAGGTACAGTACCTGCTTATCCCTGATAATGGGCATAATTCTGCACCAGAATTATTCAAACAAACCAATCATAACTTTCCATGTAAACCAAGGGTCACTTCATCCCTTGTAACTACAAAACTGCCCCCTCCAGCTCCAATTGTTCACCCTCTTCCAGAGCATAACCTGTAAGGCTCTACTTGGCATGTAGTGTCTTCTTCCCCAAGACGATGAGTAAATGTTACTAATAACCTGCTATGAATTCATCTGTTCAGTGTCCAGCATCATGTGCTCAGCCAGTCCCATAACAATAGAGTGGAAAAATCTCTCCATTATTAATGGGGTGGAGGAAAAGAGAATAAAACAGGTATTCTTGCCAAAAATGTGTAACTTCAATCTAATCATAAGAAAACACCAGACCAATCCAAATTGACAGATATTCTATAAAATACTTTACCAGTATCTTCAAAATGTCAGGGCTGTGAAAGACCCAGAAAGACTGATAAACTGTCTGCCTCAAAGAGACTAAGGTGAAATGGCAACCAAATGAAGTGTGGTATCTTGAATGGGATCCTGGAATAGAAAAAGGACATTATCCATCAACAGATGAATGGATAAAGAAGATGCGGTATATATATATATGCATACATACACACACACACACACACACACACACACACACTGGAATATTATGCAGCCATCAAAAAAAGAAATCGTGCCATTTGCAACGATGTGGATGGAACTAGAGGTTATTATGCTATGCTAAGTAAGTTAATCAGAGAAAGACAATTATGATCTCACTGATATGATGAATTTGACAAACAAGACAGAGGATCATAGGGGAAGAGAGAGAAAAATGAAACAAGACTGAAACCAGAGGGAGACAAAACATAAGAGACTCTTAGTCTCAGGAAAAACACTGAGGGTTGCTGAAGGGGTGGAGGTGGGAGGGATGGGGTGGCTGGGTGATGGACACTGGGGAGGGTATGTGCTATGGTGAGTGCTGTGAATTGTGTAAGACTGATGAATCACAGACCTGTACCCCTGAAACAAATAATACATTATATATTAATAAAAACAAAAAATTTTTAAATAAAAAATAATAAAATGGGAATGGACTAAAAAAAAGAAAAGGACATTAGTGGGACAATTGGTAAAATGCAAATAAAGTATGTATATTTGTTAATAGTACTGCATTAGTGTTAATTTCATAGTTTTATAATTTTTCTAAGGTTATATAAGACACTAACATTAGGGAAATCTGGGTGAAAACTTTATATGCTATTTTTTGCAACCTTTCTGTAAGTCTAAAACTATTTCAAAATTAAAAAGAGATAAAATCAAGTGTTAAAAGAAGAGTTATTCTGTAAACAACACTGTTCAACAACAGTCTAATCAACTGAAATATGGTTAGGAGGATAATTAAAAAGATGGACAAATGCTCATATCACATCATCCACTAAAAATGAATTTTAAAAAATGAATTCAAACTGCTTTAGGGAGTCCATTGTAAGAAATGACACTGCAGTCATCTCCAAGATGTAAATGAATATTTATTTGTTCTTTAGATGAGAAAAGCATTTTTAAGTATAAAAGAAATGAAATGCAAAAGACAGAAATATATATAATTCGCTATTTGCAATTTAAAGTCTGGGATATCAAAACTAACTGCAAGCAAAATTAAGATGCAAAGGAGAATTATAATTTTTTTGAAGAAGAGGAAAAAAAAAGAGAAAGGCTGTTAGGAGGTTTTAAAGAGAGAACATGGTATGATTAGCCATACAGTTAAAATGAATCCTACCTTAGGATGGGGTATGCACAAGAGGGTGGAGGGGAAAGTAGACCTCTGAGTAATCCAACTGGATTGTCTTTGCCCTTTTTCTTTTATTAATCCCTAAACATTTACCCTGGATAAATTAGGCCACTATAGGTGTAATTTATAGAAAGGATACTGCTGAAATTTACCTAATTGGAAGAAGAGTTGGAAAAAACTTGGGTGCAATCCAGGACCTCAGCAACAGGAGCCCTTTACTTTCTCCCAGGAACTTCCTTAAAAACAAGAGACAGCTTTCCTAACGCTCGCTCGGCGTCTTAATGGTTCCTTTCCAAAGTCAAACTGGCTGGGAGAGAACTTCCATTGGCAGAATTTAGGCCACGTGACCCCCGTGATTCAATCAGTTTTGTACTGGAAGGCGGGACCAGACTTCTGACCCGCCCCGAGAAATGGAGTTCAGTTCCCCTCCACAAAAGTGAAAGAGTTATGATTATGTGTTCAGTCCACCTGTTTGAATCTGCGTGGGTGGAAAGCAAGACACAATGCGTCTGCACCTGGTCAGAGTTTCTACCAGGCCAGGTCTCAAACCTAGAGAACCAATGTCCAGATTTATTGACAATACGGCAGTGGGTGTTAATTTAAAAATTAACACTTGATGACAAAAAGCTGTCAGATATTAGCGTCCCCAGTATTCTGATACATTAAACAAGTCAAGTTCCCACCAAAGATGGGGAAAATGTGTTCTGACCCCTATGCAGTGAAGCCATTATCGCATTTACATTGACACCTGACAAAAGCAGCACAAAAGAGAAAACTTCCACCCAATAAAAGTCCTATCAATTACAAGAATAGTTAATATTTTTTAAGTTTCTCTCACCCCACACTCCTAATTCCACTTCTTCCCTTTTTGTTTCTTTTTCTTTTCCACATTATTTACCACCTTTTGGAATATAATATATTTTATTCATATGCTCTTTTTTTTTAATCACCCATCTCCTGTGGTGGAACAATATAAATTCCAGGAGAGCACAAATCTTTGTTTATTGTTCATTAATGTATCCTAAGTGCCTATAGTAGTTCCTAGATCAATGGATAGTTGAATATTTGTTGAATGAACTAGTAACATTTTCTCCAGCCACATTAGCCTCTTTTTCCTTCCTCTAACACTAACTCACTAGGCATGCTTCCATGCCTTTCTATGTGCTTTCCTGTAACAACCTGCCTTCAGATATCCCTATAACCACCTCCTTACTTAATTCATATTTCAGGTCACCTTATAAGACAAGTTTTACTCTTCTTCATGACACTGAGCATGTAATCATAGTTTCGTGTTTGCTTGTTTTTGCTTTGCTTTAGTTTTTTGCTTTTTCTGCTCTTTTTTTTTTAGATTTTATTTATTTATTTGACAGACAGAGATCACAAGTAGGTAGAGAGGCAGGCAGAGAGAGAGGGGAAGCAGGCTCCCTGCCGAGCAGAGAGCCCGATGTGGGGCTCCATCCCAGGACCCTGAGATCATGACCTAAGCCGAAGGCAGAGGCTTTAACCCACTAAGCCACCCAGGCGCCCCTCTGCTCTTTTTTAAAAACAATTCTTTTATCCTAATGGCAAGTAAAGAAGTAGATGGGCCATGATTGTTTTAATTTTTGCAGAACAATGTCATCTTTCAACATAGGGGATAATGGCATGAGATGTCTTAAGATCGGATCCCTGGTCTTATGGTTTTAGTACCTAGCAGCTTCATGACATTGGACAGATATATTAACTCTTCCAAGATTTCATTATTCATCCTTAAAATGAAAATAGCAACAGATGTGACCTCCTAAGGCTGTTGGGAGTGGGGTGTTGGTGTTCATTCAGATAACGCTTAATAATTAGCATTGATTGTAAGTTATCAGAACTGAGGGTCAGGAGATCTGGGGTTCTTCCCAATCTCTATTTCTTAAAGCTATTTTGTGATTTCCAAGAAGTCACATCTTAAGCCACACTGTGCTTTAGATTGTACTTCTGTCAAAAGGAGTAAGCCCTGTCAATACTATTTACCATAAGTGGTTTAAGATATAAATTTTTAATTCATCATGAACATCATTAACTTTTTTAAAGGGTGATGGACAGTTGAAGTGCTTAGGGTGTCCAGAAAAAAAATCCTAGAAAAACACAGAGATAATGAGAAAACCTGTTATTCCTCCCTAAAAGGGCAGGACATTTTTCCAGCCTAATGTCAAATATTGTGCAGAGAATCCTGAACAGAAAACAATTGAGAAGTCAGATTGGAGTCCCACTTGTACTGAGGAGAAACCCCCCAGGGTCTTAGTACAGAACAGAACAGTAGATACTTTTCAAGAGCAGAATTTTAAGGTAATTTTTTAAAATTTTTTTCTCATATCACCTAAACAATGTTTGAAAACATCCCCCTCATATTTTTAATTTGCAAAGGATATAATTTCTGGTATATTGCATATTTTATATGTGCTTTAAAATCCTTTTTCTAAATCTTGGTGCCACAAACATAGTTCAGTCAATTTATGGAAAATGTTCAGTATGTTACTCAATTGGAAAATTAGTCTGATCAGGATTTACTCTTTATAAGAAAAACTACGATTTAATTTTTCAGTTTCAGTAAATGTATAAATGACTATGTATGGTATTTTTCTTCTGAATCCTAAATCTAATACTGGTAGGTCTATAGTAAGATAGCTAAATACAGGAAACCCACTTTGCCACCTCAAAACTATGATTCAGATCTATGCAATTTCAATAAGCAATATACTAGATATTTTTTCCCCTGGATGAGTGCAGCATAGATTCAGGAAGAATTAGATAAATGTCTTCCTTTTGTAAAAAAAAAATTAAGATATTTTTAACATTTTATTCTGAGATGATTGTAGATTCACATGCAGCTGTAAGAAATAATGCTTAGAAATCCAAGGTACACTTTATCCGATTTTTCCCAGTGATAATATATTACAAAATTATAGTATACTATCAGAACCAGGATACTGACATTGATAATACCCACTGATCTCATTTAGGTTGTTTCAGTTTTACTTCAGTGTGTGTGTGTGTGTGTACTTACTTCTATGCAGTTTTATCACGTGTAGGTCCATGTTTCCACCACAACAGACAAAATTCTAAACAAGTCCAACATCACAACGATCTTCCTAGTATTACCATTTTGCAATTACACCTATCTTCCTTCTAGAATGATTCTCCATACCAAACCACTGGAAACTACTAAACTGTCTTCATTTCTAAATTTTTGTCATTTCAAAAATCTTATATAAATGGAATCATAAAATACATAAGTTTTAGAATTGGCTTTTTTTAAAAACCCATAATTCCCTGGAGATCTATCAAAGTTTTTGCAGGTGTCAAGAATTTATTACTTTTTGGGCAGCAGGGTGGCTCAGTAATTAAAGCGTCTGCCTTGGCTCAGGTCATGATCTCAGGGTCCTGGAATTGGGCCCTGCATTGGGCTCCCTGCTTGGCAGGAAGCCTGCTTCTCCCTCTCCCACTCCTCCTGCTTATGTTCCCTCTCTCACTATGTCTTTCTGTGTCAAGTAAATAAATAGATATCTTTTAAAAAAGAGTTTACTTTTTAATTTTGAGTAGTGATCCATGATATGGATATACCACAGTTTCATACATTCAAGGATTCATTCATTGGGTTTTTCCAGTCATTGACTTACAAGTAAGCTTGCTGTGAACAATTGTGTAGATGTTTCTGCGTGAAATTAAACTTTTAATTCTCTGGTCTAAAAGCCCACAAGTGAGATTTCTGGCTTGTATGTTAAATTCATATTTAGTTTTAAAGAAAGTGCCATATTGTCTTATAAAGTGGCTAAACCTATTTTACATTCCCTCCAGAAATGTATAAGCAATCTAGCTTCCCTCCATATCCTTTCCAATATTTGGTATTACCATTTTTTTAATTTTAGTTGTTCTAATATGTGTGTAGCAATATTCTCACTTAAGTCTTAATTTGCATTTCTAATGATTAATGATGACTAATGATGTTGAAGATATTTTACTGTGCTTATTTGCCATCTGTATATCCCCTTTGTTGAAATTTTTGCTGTCTTTTGCGCTTTTTCTTCTTGGATTCCTTGGTTGTTGATTGTTGAGCTCTATGAGTTATTTTTATTTTCTAGATAGTACTTTTTTGTTGGATACATGGGTTTCAAATTTTTCTCCTGTCTGTAGCTTGTATTTTCATTCCTTCATAGCATCTCCCACAAAGAAAAGTTTTTGATTTAGATGAGGTCTAATTTATTGATTTTTTAAAATGGATTGTGCTTTTGATTGTCAAATCAGAGAACTTTGCCTAGGTCTAGATCCATTTTCTCCAGTGATATTTTCTGAAATTATTATAATTTTACACTTTACATTTAAGTCTGTGACATATTAAGTTAATTGTTAGTTCTATGTTCTGTTCTACTGATATACGTGTCTATACCTCTTCTAATGCCAAATTATCTTAATTGCTGTAACTATATAGTAAGATTAACATCACATGAAATGATTCTTTTTACTTTCTTATTCCTTATCAATTATGTTTTAGCTATTCTAGTGTTTTGTATTTCCATATAAATTTTATCTTTTTATTTTTAGATTTTATTTATTCATTTGACAGAGAGAGACAGAGCAAGAGAGGCAACAGCAGTAGGGGGAGTGGGAGATGGAGAACCAGGCTTCCTGCCAAGGTTGGAGCCTGATGTAGGGCTCCATTCTAGGATCCTGGGATCAGGACCTGAGCCTAAGGCAGACGCTTAACGACTGAGCCACCCAGGCACCCTTTCCGTATAAATTTTAGAATAAGATTCTCTACATCTGTATTGTATGGGTGGAGGTTCCTTTGATTTGTCCTGCATACCTGACCACCCCAACATGCACATACACAAACAAGCTAAAGAATATTGTTTGTGAGATTTGTGTTGCAGAACACTTCAGGAGCCTAACTAGTTGACATTAGCTGACCTCCAGATAAGAACTGGCCCTTTTGGTCTGGAGGCCAAGAGTTATAAATCTCACCTTACACCCCCTCCTGCTCCAGGCTGGGCTGCACACCCCCTGCCCCGCCACTGGAAAGGAATCCGGGAAGGGAGGCATGCACACATAGCCAGGCTCCTTGAATACATTAAGACATGATAACATAGGAATGTAGCTCACTCCAAACTGCATGTAGGCAAACAAATGTTTAGCTTCAGACCCCATCATTTGCCCTATAAATACATGGGGATGGTCAAATAGAAGTCTTACCTGAGGGGAGAATGCTCTGCCCAGGCCTCTCAATTGGGATTCCAACCGGCTGCCTTCACTGGGCTTCCCCAGCTAGGAAGATTGGATGTTGTAAGTGCCCGCTCCAGAGGAGAAACTGATAAACTTTTCCTCCAGTTTAGAGACTGGTGCCCTGGCTTTGATAACAAGATTCAAGACTGAAAGCCTGTGAAGCCTTCAAAATGTAACAGGAACATTGCGTTTCTTTTGTTTAATGAATGCCATTCCTGAGTGAACAGGAGAGAATGAAAAGACTCTTTGAATATTGCAGAAACCTCCTATGCTAATGATTAAAGCTACGAAGTATCCATTCTCAATCACCTTTTTGCAATAATATATTTTTTCCTGCGAAGTTTGTTGGAATATGTCATTGTGTCTTAATTTGCATTTGACTTTAGGTTCTGGAGCTGAAGCTGCAAGCTCTTGGTGTGTCTGTAAATAAAGTCTTTCCTCCTAAGTATGTGAGGGCATATGTTTTTTATGTTTGGAAAGTTTAATGAATTTGATAATTTTCTTAAAATTAGTTCAAACCCTAGTCTTCTTGAATTATTGATTCTAAAAAATGCTTAAATACAATAATTCCCAGTGGAAAAAAAAACTGCTACTTTAAAAAATTTAAGCAGATTTTGGAGCGCCTGGGTGGCTCAGTGGGTTAAAGCCTCTGCTTTCAGCTCAGGTCATGATCCCAGGGTCCTGGGATCAATCCCCTATGGACTCTGAAAAACAATCTGAGGGTTTTGAAGGGGCAGCGGGGGGGGGGTGGGGGGG